CTTCACACAAAGGCGGTGCAGCAGCTCACGCTTAATCGATTTCACTACAAGTTCCTGATACTACGAAGCCCTTCGACTTATGCACGGATGCCTCTGATTACGCGATCGGAGCGGTTCTAGAACAAGAAGAGAAGCCCATCGGCTTTCTCAGCCAAGTTATGAACCCACACAACAGAAATACTCGATCTACAACCAAGAACTCTTAGCGTTGGTGAAGGCCCTAGACAAGCGGTCTCATCTGCTCCGTGCTACCAAACTCATAGCTCATACAGATCAGCAAGCTCTTACGCACCTCCAACGACTCCAAGCATCGAAACTTCTGCGTGGAAACACTGCTCGGTGGTCAGATTTCCTGGCCGAGTCCCCGGATTTGGACATCACTTATGTTCAAGAAGCGCGCAATCAGGTGGCTGATGCCTTGTCTTGCCGTCCCGGTCTCTTTAACACCTGCTTGCACGACACACCACCGACACCGCTGATGCTTGCAGTAGAACAAGCACGCGCGGCTTCTCGCTCTCGTGATCGGCCTGCCAAATACAGGGGGCTCGCCGGCATTCGTTTGCGACGATCCAGACAACGCACCCTGCCATCGCCACCTTCAGCTCTGCCTCCTGAGCCCAATACAGAGGCGGAACACCCTACACCTGCAACGAAGACACGAGCTGACCCTGCTGATGTGCACGCATGGCCGCAAGCTTACTCGAAGTGTCCCGTTTTCCGCGCTCCCTACGAAGTCGCTGCAAAACAACCAGGAGACGCTATACCGATAGAATTTCGTAATCGCCCCTTTCGCTATGTGCCGCCTTACTTGCACATTTGTATTCATGGAGTATGGAGAATCTGTGTCCCACAATTCCATGAGTTCCTTACTAACGTTCTGTATTCACATCATGATCATGTGACAGCCGGCCATCGGGGATAGAAAAGGAGATTTACGGCTCTGAGCAAGCACAACTACTGGCCCGGCATGCGCGTCTGCACTACTGAGTATGTTGAATCATGTACTTAACTGTCGTGCGTCAAAATCCCTTAACCAGAAGCCAACAGGCCTTCTTCAATAGCTACTCATCCCTTCACGTCGGTGGGCGCATGTGAGTCTTGACTTTATCACAGATCTTCCCCTTACAACGACAGGGCAGGACTCGATTCTTGTCATGGTCGACTCCCTCAGGAAGATGCCCCATTTTGTTCCTGCAAAGAAGTCATTCACAGCAGCCGACACAGTGGAGCTTCTCAAGTACCGTCTTATCCGCTACCACGACTTTCCGGAGGCTCATGTCGCACCTCGACCGTCGATTCCAGTTGGATCTCCGGCAACAACTATCCCGCCTCAAACGCGCCATATCCTCGTCCTACCATCCCCAGAGCGACGCTCAAACTGAAAGGGTTAACCGCACACTGGAGCAGATGTTTCGTGCCTACATCCAATCTGAGGCACGCGAGTGGGAGCGCTTGCTCCTGGCCCTGGAACTTGCCTACAACACGACAAGCCATTAATCCACTGAGTTCTCTCTTCGAGGTCATGATCGGCGAAAATCCGCTGACTGCTGCGAATCTTGATGTCGTAGGCGTGTTCGCGTGTTCGCCCGTACGCTCATCCTCCGATGACTTAGCTTTTCCAGCGGCTCTGCGACAGAGCGCAGAGCCACATACTGATGATTTCGAGCCTGAAGACGTCTTCGCTGGAGACGGTGCGACGCATGAAGCAAAGCGGGGTATCCTGTAGGAAGGTGAGCGGGCTCCCAGGTGGCTTAATTTTCAGGGATTCCGCGCCACTTGTCGAGATACTGGGAGGTGACACCGGAGCAGGGTTGGTCCATCATATAATGTACCTCATGTTCCTCTGTTGGATTGCTGTCCGCATCGAGGACGGGGGGCCAGCCGGCGTCGGCTTCCTGAGGAGCCGAGACGGGAGAGTTGGGGCAATGAGAAACTAGCTGCGAAACATGGAAAACGTCGTGGCATTCGCAGGTGGGAGGCAGAGCGAAACGGTAAGCGATGGTCCCTATGCGTTCAATGAGTTGAAAGGGTCCTCGGTAACCGGGCTCGAACTTCGGGCAACTAGTCGAAGCCGGTCGATGCTTGCTGTTGAGCCAAATCTTGTCGTCCCCTGCATACTCCACGGCTCGGCGTCTTGTGCAGTACTTCTGCTGCACATTTTGCATCCAGGATGTGTGACTCTGTGCTCTATTGCAGAGCTGCCGGAAAAGCTTAGTCATTAGAGGAGTGAGCTTAGGGGCTAACACATCTACGATATCAAGATTCGCCGCAATCAGTGGATTCTTGCGCTACACTGCTTGAGTTGGCTTAAGATCAAGTCAGAAAACAAGGTGATATACCAGAAAAAGTAGCCTCGCAAGGCGCTGAAATAAGCGGCTGAAGAATAAGCCTATGATAATTTAGGGCAGCAAGTGGACTCGATGACTGCAGCAGAAGTGGCCACATTCTTGCGCTTTGCTGCCAAAAGGTACAATGGACACGGCAAAGCCAAGGACAGGGTATCTGTCGAGGGTTTACTGCGTCAGGCTCAGTATAACACCTCAGAGAAGTAGTTATGTGCCGCCAACAGAAAACTGGTTTACAAAGTCTGGACTCATCAGTAGCCGTGCGCCTGGATGACGAGCGATAAGTACCCCTTGTGTGCGCCTTGTACGGGAACTGTTGTAGTGCGCGGCGCCTACTGCTGCGACTACGCTGCTTCCTGCCCCTCGAGCAGGTCTACAAACTACGCCTAGCGTAGCCCCATTTCTCGAACACTACAGCTTTATTCCATCGAAATACGACAATTCTTAAGTGTTTCAAATCTGTCTGGCCGATTTGCCCCCTTCTGGGAGCTCACCTCGTAGGCCCTATGGGGAGGAGGTCCGCACTGGCGCCGGCGCTACCGCCAGCCCCAGTCTCCACACAATTTCCGCACATTTCACGTATTCATTAGAACTAAATAACAGTTTTTCTTATTTTTTTCCCCTTGATATGGTCCTGTCCTCCTCCAGTGTTGCGGCCCTGATGATGATAGCTAGCTAGGTCGCTAGCTAGGTCGCTAGCTAGCTATCATCTCTAGGACACTAGCCAGCCCCATTGTAGTGCCTGTGCACTACACCTGTAGTGTCCAACGTTATATGTTTTGCTAATCTGCCAGCAAGGCTACATGGACCACCAGCAACCTCCCTGAATTATTGCTGGCATCAAGTGTACTCAGTGTGACGAGTGGATGAAGTTACAAAGCGTCAACAAAGCACCCTCGCATATACCTGAGGTCTTAGGAAGTGCTCCACGTAGGTTATCTATGGGGCTGCCACCAAAGCTCCCACATAATCTTTATCTTTTCGAAGCACCGAAAGACCTAAATGCTTGCGGAGTCGCTGGAGTGCTATATTTTCTGAGCACCTTTGGGGTTGTGAGAATTTTCAAGGGTAAACGACTTCCTGGTATCCCTAAGTCACTTCATCAGTTGAACAATTATCATCGCAACAAGGAAGTAGTGCGCTGTATCAGGTTGTCCTTCCATAAATCCAATTTAAAGGAAACTGATATCAAAGGAACCCAACTGGTCTTTGATGCAGTAAGCAGGAAAGGGCCTTCAGCGAAATTTACGGAATTCATGTCCACTGCTATTGAATGTAATACTTTACGGTAGCTCTAGTGACACCTCAAAACTCCAAGTGTTCGTTACTCAAAGATAGAGCAATGTAGTACCAGGCATTTAAAGAACGAAGAGAGGTGCGGGCATAGTGACGAAGCTTCACCTTGTAACAGACTAGAAGTTAGCAGGGCAGATTCACTGTTGCGCCAGATGATGCATTCAAGCAACTCACTTCGTCAAGCCCAAAATTGAATTGTGGACTTTCTAGGTATAGAAAGGCTCATTTTTCCGTTTTATGAGACTCTCAAGGTCTCACCAGCTGATTGTAGCGGGTCGTTTATAACACTTTGGCGCTTCGCGGTTCTACAACAAATCCCCCGTCGCTATACAACTCACAATACGATATGCATAAATTTGCGTTGCGACTGCTTTTCTTTGGCTACTCTGGCTCAAAGATATACTAGCTAAGCGGGTATTGAGTCGCGCAGCGAACTTCATCAATATAGAAAAAGTTTTTGCTATTTGACGTTACCAATAAACCAGATGTTTCATTATATCAAAAATATATGTAAAACTACAATCGCAATCTGGAGGTGACGGCTCACTTTCACTGTTTCTGCGATATACGTTTGGGCGCCGAGCCCACAGCAACCCGTTGGCAACGCTATGCATACTTCGTGTATAAACTGTAGTGGTGTCAGAAGAATGTTTTTCAAAAAGCAAATATTTCGTGTTTCTGGAGCACCGGAACGGTTCTATTCAGCCCCGTGAAGGCTGGTGGGGTTGTTGCTGCTAAGTTCACTTGACCCACAAACCTAATAATTCTTGTAAATGTGTTTCGTGCAATAGTTGTCCAGACAACATATCAAATGAGGTCTCCAGGAATCACTGGGACTGGGCATGATTTGAATTTTGATGTGCAACCGTGGAGCTTGGGCGAATAACACGCTGTGAGGTTACCGATCCGAGCCCTTCGCAAGTTAAAGCGGCTCTTCTCTGAAGGCAAAAGGAAAATCTATGCTTTTATGTCAACTAACACCGATAAATGCGCTGAGAAAGAGAAGAATTGGCGTGTAGTCATGGGCAAGCCTTGCTGCAGCAAGGAGCAGATGTCCTGTCTTCCCCTTGGGATGTGGGAAATACACCGCATCTAGATAGCTCCGTACGTCAGACTACCAGTAAGCTTTGCTTCAGATATGTCTGTGTTCTGAATGCTGGATTTTGTAGGTTCGAGAATATACCACCACTTAGCACTTCGCTGGTGTAGATCTCTAAATGAAGCAGGCCTGCATCGCTGCCTTTCCGTTAGTTGGATCCATGGGAATCGTATAGGTTGTGCAGTCAGGCAATTCATCTCCAGCGATTCCCGATCTACAAGGCAGTCTTTTGCCCCAAGGCTGGCCACGTCTGCTTCAAGATGCGGCGGGTTCTTAACCCCAAGCGCCCGTAGGTCCATATAATCATCTTACTCTTCGGCAGTTGTCCCTCACGTAGGGGAACAATGTGGAAGGGACATAGGGGCTACCATTCTCCGCTGCCTGTGTGCTTCATGCACAGAGAGGGGGCTCCTGCCGACGGCCATGTACAAGACTCTACTGGAGTTTCAGTTTGCCTCGTTAGGGCGCCTCTAATGCCTTTTCTGACTGTTGATGCTGGATCATCCATGCTATTCAGGCCGTTCAAGAGTCCTCTGAAGGGTCATTTGCCAGGTAAGCCGACCCAGAGTCCAAGCAGTACTGTCCGACGTTGTTCTGCTCCATCCAGAAATATCCGCCAGTAGCTACAGAGCCCATATTGAGCGGCACTAGGCTCCTTTACATTGAGAAAAATCCCCTTAACGTTCAGCTACGCCCACCTTTTGTGGCACGGGGGTTTCTGTGATTGTGGCTCCAAAGGATGCAGCGAAGAGTCCCTTCGGAAGACGCTGGGGGTCCGAATGAAGCGTTCTTCATGCTTCTTAAGTAACATTAAACAGTTCAAAAGCCCCCCAGCTCTGTCTCCTACTGCCGCACCGGAACCTTCGGCCGGCGAACCCCTGATCCTCTACGAGCCTCGGAAAGACGGTGAACACAGGGTAGAAGTCGACCCCATGCTGACAAGGTAGGCAAGTGGAGTGAACTTAGCATATTTCCTTGCTTTGACGCGTAGGACAATTATTTTGAGGGTTTTACTATCTACAGCAAAGCGGCAGCCACCGGTCTGATATGCAGAATCCGTGTTGGTTGCTTGTGTATTGGGCAAGCATACTCCTGTTGCTTGGAGCACTAGGGGCTGTCTTTTATGGGCAAGATGCCAGTTCTGGAGGCTTCAGGTGGCTTCGCGAACATCAAAGACAAGGTGTACGTTTTGTTTTCGATTGCCTTATGGGCCTCAAAGCTTTTGACGGCTTTGGGTGCATTCTTGCCGACGATATGGGACTAGGAAAGACACTGCAAAGCATTACAATCCTTTGGACACTTCTTGAGCAGGGAATTGACACCATTCCAGGCACGTGAGAAAGCGTGCAACGCGCATACATGATTGCTTGCTGCATATTTGTTTAAGCGAAACTGCAGAGATAAAGAGGGAATAGAAGGCTTGGTGGATGCTATTGGGAAGGCAGAGGTGCCCCGTGCACGTTCCCTTCTGCTGTTAAGCAGGAGCTGAAGTACTCCTCCATCTTCTGTGCAACTGCTTCAGCTGCTAAACGGGCCGTTGTTGTTTGTCCGGCGTCTCTTGTCAATAACTGGGCGGCAGAGTTGCAGAAGTGGCTGCAGGGACGATGCCCCTGTACTGCTGTAGCGGACAGCTGCAAAGATAAAGTTGTTTCCAAATTTGAGGGCTTTAAATATGATCGACAGGTGCGTGGCCGCCCTTCAGTCCTGATAAGGTTTGTTTTTACTGCCTTTTCGACATCTTGTTCATGTCTTTCAGTTTTCGAGTACTGTATGGCCAAAGTAGTTTGCAGTGAGCAGGTACTTGCTCGCTGTCGCTCTGAGGGGAGGCTGCCACTGTTGATCCTAAGGCCTCCGTAACGGGCTCGAGGAGTTGCTGTGTGATTAAACACAAGCTAGTATCATATCAAATGCATTAAGGTCTTGTCTGGCCGAATTACTGCTTTCACAGCAGTACGTACTGTGGAACTCATCTCGCCACGTGATGAGGCCTCACACTGCGTTTGTACCTGCAGTCTCGCGTGCTCATTGCGAGCTATGAGACATTCAGAGCCCACGCACATCGTGTTGCGTCCGTCCCAATTGAACTTGTTATCTGTGACGAAGCCCATCGCTTGAAAAATGATAAGACAAAGACATCTGTTGCTATTAGCCAGCTCCCTGCCAAGCGGCGACTCCTTCTGAGTGGCACTCCCATTCAGAATGACCTTGACGAATTCTTTGCCCTCGTGTCACTCTGCAATCCTAATGTCCTTGGTAGGAATGAATTCCCTTCGTCGTACGCTTGCATGATGCAATGTGACGTAGTCTCTTGATTTTAGTTGGGTAGTGTAGCGGGAGTCGTAAGCACCTTTGTTCCGCAGGCTGTGAAGCGAATTGGCTTTATTTTGGATTGGTAAATTTTGTTTTTTCCTGCGAAACTTCCGCTGTTCGCAACCAAGGAATCGGTTGCGCTTGTGAAGTGACCAATTCAGGAGACGCGTACACATTTCGCAAACGATACGCTTCGCCAATTCTTGTGGGAAGAGAACCCGGAGCTACGGAAGCTGAACAGGAACTGGCTGCTGAGCGACTGACGGAGCTATCTTCAATCACAAATCTCTTCATTCTTCGACGCACCAATGCCCTGCTCGCTAAAGTTTTACCCCCTAAAATCATTATTGTGAGCCGTCTGCTCAACTGTTTGTCTGGTACGACCGGTTTTAATGTACGCAGCTGCAAATCAAGCTTCAGGCTGCTGCCAGTGTTTCTGGATACAGCAGCATTTGCGCTGGAGTGTGTACCGGCTTTCTGTAACAGAACTTGTTTTGTAATCTGTCGCCTCTGCAAATTGCTTTCTACCAAGAATTTCTCAAATCTAAGTGGTACGGCAGACCTACCGGCGGCATTTCTGGAGACAACTACGTGCACCCAGTGATCTGCAATGTACTCGCTTTCGGGCTATAATATCATTTAAGCAATGCTTCATGGGGACTCTGGCTTATTGAAAGTACACTTGGTGTGTGTGTCCCAGTTGCCGAAAGCTGTTAGACACAGATGGAAATGGCGGATCTTCTGGACTGACTGGGAAGGTTCTGTCGTCAATACAAGGACTGATGAAGCTGTGTAACCATCCGACTCTCGTTAAAAATCAATCGCTTCTTCTCTCAGTACGCAGCGTGGATGAGAATAGTTCGATAAGTCGAAATGTTGCGCGTATACTGCATTGGTTGAGTGGGGATCACCATGAATTTCTCCCCCAAGTGTCTCATGGAACTTCTTATGCGCCTGGTTTAAACTTTACGCGCCGCTTTTAATTGGAGATTGCCCATATTGTGATTGCAATCGTCAAAGGCTCTGAGCGCGAAGCAGCCACATACGAACATCATGATAGGTGCGCCAGCGTTACAAATCTCCATTTGTTTCCTTGTTTTGAAGGGATTCGAGAAATGTGCAAAGCTTTTTGAGGAACTAGACCTTGAAGGCACAAAGGCCCGCGTCCGTTCCATCCGGCCTGATATGTCAGGGAAGATGCTGCTACTTGCCAGGTGAGAGGCTACATTCATAGTTTAATTTTTCATCTTCCAGCAGAACCACTTCCGGAGGGACGAGCGGGCGTTTTCATAAGGGCGCCTCTGCACGCTTGCGCAGCCAATTAGTGAATAAACGTTCGTTGCAGAATAGGCCACTGCAGCCTGTCGGCAGCACAGGCCATGGTCCACTTGATTTCCAATTCGGATACAAATATGTGAATGCAGGCTTTGCATTTCGGTGACTAGCATTGCTTGGTTTCAGCTCTTTTACCTTGCATGCCCCTCTGCGCGACAGGTTGCTTCATGCAATCCGTGTTAATACACGTGACAAGGTCGTGCTGATCAGCAACTACACGCAAACCCTTGACTTATTTGAACGGCTGTGCAAAGATTCTGGTTATCCTTGTGTCCGCCTCGACGGCACTACGTCCATCAAGAAGCGCCATGACCTCATTACTGTGCGTCTGCTCCTTGCAATTACTTGATGCACAGCTCCTTTGAATTATACTTGGCTTCCCGCCAAGACTGCAATAGCTTTCCTCATTGCATGCGGAACATGCGCAGAAGTTTAACGACCCCAATTGCTCAGCAGCTACCAGCTTTGCCTTCCTCCTTAGCAGCAAGGCGGGGGGGTGTGGCGTGAATCTAGTTGGCGCTAATCGTCTCGTGCTCTTCGACCCAGATTGGAATCCTGCAAATGACAAGCAGGTGTAGTCGCAGCATCCTGATGCATTGATGCATTTCGCTTCCTCGCACTAGTTAGCACGCGCGCGCACATCTTTGCCGCAAGCAGGCTGTTGAAGGCTAGCACAGAACAATGTGCTGCAACGCGGGTTTTTTGGATGATTGCTCTGCGAGGCTTTGGCCCGCGTCTGGAGAGACGGCCAGAAGAAGACATGCTTTATTTATCGGCTGTTTAGTACGGGAACAATTGAGGAGAAAATCTATCAGGCAAGATAATTCAGCAGATAGAGATTGCCGAGTATTGCAAGGCAGAAGCAGCGTGTTGCGTGATTCTCATTTGGGGTGCATTCTGTTTCAAATGCACTGTTTTCAGAGACAAATTTGTAAGGACGGCCTGAGCGCTATGCTTGTTAGCGAAGGGGTCAACCAAATGAAAGACTCGTAAGCAGCTGCCAGGCACGATCAGCAGGCAAACCTTCGTTTTACATCAGGCAAAAACAAGTTCTTAAAAGTTTCTTATTTGTCTTGCATGCAGGCTTTCGACGGACATAGTGAAGGATCTGTTTCAGCTGCGCGAGACGCGCTCCGACACTCACGACATGCTCCAATGCCAGCGCTGCCAGCGTAAGGCTGGACGAAAGGTCACTGCCTTGTTGCTACAACCATTCAAAACAATTAAGCTACACTGGGAATTTAAAAGCGCAGAGTTGAGGAAGACGCACTGCTTGGCTTATATGGCAACGACACGCTACTGTAGCCAGCCTCTGCCATTTGGGTTTTGTTTGCGATTCTCATGGATGTGATATCCTGTGATCAGCGAGTAGAGAAACTGAGCCATTAGGAATGGTCGCACAGCTAGTGGATGGATTCGAGGAAGATGGTACGGGCGAGACTGGGTGCCTTAGTTCCGCTTATTGCACCTTTAGTACATTTTGTGTGTCAGTAACTGCTTCATCTCTCAGGCACTTCATTCTAGCGTTAAAAAGCGGTGCATGTGGAATCGCTGAATTTGCTCCAATCAGTGACGGAGGGTGAAAGTCTCATGCAGAATCTTAGAGTGAGAGAAGCACAGGAAAGTTATCGCGGAGCTATATTGTGTACAATATTTTTGCTTTTGAGTGCCCCTCATCAATTTGTCCATCAGATCTTCTCACCTGGGCACACCACTCTGACTTAAAAACAGTTCCTGATGAAATGTTGCTTAAGGCGATTGAAGCAGCGGAAGGGGATGCCGCAGATGCTCTCTCCAGTGACACACATGAAGCGCCGACAGAGATACCCAGCCATTTCCAGCCTGTTTCATTCGCAATGTCCTGCAAAGTTGAATTTACCAAAGAATCTGAAGAAGTAGGCGTTCTAAGCGAGGTGCAGACAAGACAACGGTGTTTTGAATTGGCGGCTGCTGTGTACTTCTAGTCGTATATGCTAGTCATTTCGCCTTTTTATTTCGTTTTTCTGCACCTCGCAGCTCCGTGGCACTCTTTACACGCTATCCTTCGAAATTAGGTTGTTAATTTCGAGCTGCTCCAGACGGACTGCCCAAAGCTTCCTGCTGTGGACATTCAATAGTGGACATTCAGCAGCATAGGGTTGCATTTTGTTGCCCCTGCAGACGAATTCGGCTGGGGCACCAGCGCCAAAAAAAGTGAATCATGGAGAAGCGTGCCTCTCTGAAATGAGGGTAGTTTCATCAGCACCTCCCACGTCGCCTCAGCAAACTACTGCTCTGGGGCAGTATTCATCTCTAGAGAATGCTCTTGTCAAGCCTATCGACCGCGGTGAACGTCCAGGTATTTTGCAAAACCGGGAGAACGTCTGTGTCAACACGTCTGTAACAACCGCCTGTGCAGAAGCTCCTTCAAGAGAAGCTCTCCACGCAGTCGATGACACTTCAGACGTTTCCTGCAGCAGCGAAGGCACCATCACAAGTGAAGGGGAATCGGATAGTGAGGATTTAGACGCAGTGGCGGAAGATGAAAGTCCCAGCGACAGCGATTCCGACTAGTGATTCTCTTGCCTACCTCCACTTAGCGCTGATAAGCGCTTGGTTGTGTGTCACTATTCGAAAATCAACGTCAGTAGCCTGTTGAATGTGCCCGTTTTGGTGATCATTCGGCGTCAGGGCTGCGCAGGTGCTCGTGCACTAAATTAGAGTAGCGGCGTTCATGGAAATCCAGACTAACAAGCTATCCAGACTCAAGTATCGAAGCGTGCATGGTATAACAGCTAACGACATGGAATGTTGATGTCTATTGAGAACCAACAAGTGGCACTGTTATGATGACTGAGTGATTGGCCGCTAGTTCAAGTGCGAGCAACAGGCTATTGATGTGGATTTTATATGGAGGGGTCAAGGGTTACTCGCTCACGGCAGTTTCCTTCAGCTTCAGCTCACATCTGCTTTCTTTTTACATGGCGATTGCACGACTAAGAGCATCCACGTAGGTGAAGTAATGACAAGATGTACTTAACAAGATGAAACTATCAGGAGTTAAGCAAGTTATGAAGCAGCTAAATTGTAAGCTCTGCGTCTCGGATTGTGCCCACGGAGTTTTGGGCCTTGCGAATGCTGTACGAGAGCTCAACTCTCCTGACGCTGCTTGCTAAGAGCCTTTACGTTGTGCAAGCACAGCCAAGAGACAGCCGTCACAGTGCAGAATCGGAAGTGCGGTTGAGTGAGAAAGGCTCCTGTTGGAAGAAAAACCTCCGCTCACTATCGGTGCCGTTGCTTTTCGCCAACTAATTAGCCGGCTATGGCCGCCGTAAGTATATGCTATCCATCGTGGTCCCCAGGCACACTAGTTCCATAACGGTCTTCGATTGTAGTTTCTTGACAGGACTGGCAACTGCTTGGATTAGGACGGTACAGCAAACAAGGGTCTGTTGTCGCGTGTGCAAACAGCTTAACTCCAGTAGTGGACGTATAAGCCCTTCAACGTTTCTCTGATGTGTATCGCTTCTGTCTATACAAGCTTGGGTTCTTCTCTTTGAAGCACCCGCAGGGACGACTGTTGTGCTATTCATATTTGAAGCACCACCATTTGCTGTGGGCATCTTGCGCCAACCTCTCGCTTCCCATTCGGAACAATGCCAGCTGCGGCGCAGAGCGTGGCGAAGTGTGGTGATAACTCAGATCTTTTGAACGTCTTTCCGTACCTTTTTGGACAGTATTCTCGACTGTGACACTCCTATAATTAATTTCCTCATCCCAAAGCTAACCTATTCAAACCGAATGGGTATCTGCAAGCGCTCCCGCTAGGCCCTCTCCTACGCCAGCTCCACTGTTCCTCCCATTGGGGTTAGTATACCTAATTCTGAGGGATTACTGTACTGTACAGGCACGCAAACTTCCTTTTCTCCGTAATTGGCACGTGCTATGCCCAAAGACTAAATTCGTTTCTACGTGTTCCATGATGTGTCATAAAATTTGTCCTGCCCAGCTCACGCACTTTAGTGCTAGGCGTAGTGCAGAACCTACAGCGGGAGTGCTTTGTCGCCACCTTGAAGGCAACCACACCTACAATGATTTTTAGATGCACCAACTGCAATGGTGCCGGCAGTGCTCGGTACACAGCCAGCTCGCGCATCGACCACATAAGCTCCACCGGTATACCAGCTGAACAGATCTTCACGAGGGGACGAAAGGTCTTCATGGTGCTACAACCTTCGTGCGCCAGGACTTGTTGCTGCGAAAAATGTGCGCTCTGTCTAGGCGTGCTCCAGCACTCTCAACGGGTTGCCTTTTCTTGGCTGTCAGCTGGTTTTAGTATCAACAAATTACTAGCAGCTGTGTTGTCGCCCTGAAGCACTCGAGGTGCAGTGGTCTAGTCATGTGCTCTACGACCCCCACGCCTCATTGAATTTCTCCCTTGATATTTTTAAGGGGGTGGGTGCGAGTTTCCCTCATTCACTGGGCAGACTTGGAATATGCACCTATGACCCGAAAACTGTTAAAGCGCTTCTTCCCCGTCGAGAAGTCACGTCTTTACCGAGATCTTTGGGAATAAATTATGCATTAATTTGGAGTTGATTACGTGCGTGTTTTGTCAAAAGAGTATCATGGAACCGCCACCCTTTGATAGGGAGGTAAGCCCAGCCTAGCCTCTACATAGACCCCTACAACCAGTTTCTCAGATGCACTTACATTGTTTATTCTGAACTGCCAATTTACTACAGAAAGCCTTGTAAGTAACCTCTGAAGGGTTGATATTTCTCAGAGACCGCCAGAGCAGAAATAATCTGCCGGAGTGTCCGAGGGCTGTGAGCCAGTCTAGATCCAGGAGAAATGCCGCTTGGATTCGAAAGTCTACCTACCCTCCAGGCGCCACTACTTTCACAGCCTATTACTAACTCGAGACACTTACAATGTATGTATGGATCAGAAGAATTATTGTGCCCCATTTCAGTGCCTCGAACTACTCAAAACTTGGTGCATACCCAATGAGGGCACCTCGGGATTTTTACCCCTATGAAGGAGCAGCAAAAACATCCACTCACCGAAGCATACCTAGATCGTACCGTTCTGCCAAACCCACAATACTGCTAAATACTCGGCAACCAGCTCGATCGACAAGATGCTAGTCCCTGAAATGCCCAGAATGGTGCTGCATAAGATACTAGAGCACGCTGTACTTGCAGCAGAGGTCGGAGACGGCCAAACCCACTAGGGGAAAATTAAAAATGTGATTCATAAATATATAAGAGATCGTGCTGCCCGTCTCATACCCAGAAGTCGCCCAAGAATTAGTTTCTGTGCGCTCTAGAAGATAATGCAAGAGCTAACCTGTTTGATGCCGCCTGATACGGGCACCCGTGTGCGTGTGCAATGAAAAACTTTGAGTGTACGGCTTCGGATTTTCCTTCGCCAATTCATCGGTGGGAAAAAATCCAATGTGTGGCCACCTATCTATTTTTGTTGTCTAATCGCAGTAGCGCTTACTACGCCCTAGTGGCATGATTACTAAAACGTCCCATGGTCAGAGCAAGCCCAGGCTTATCACTAAATATTCTGGGTAAGTATGAAATCAGGTGGGCAAAATGAATTCACGGCAATAACATATCGAAAAAAGGATGCTTCTCCTTCCGTTTCCGTGACAAAACGCGGAAACGCCACACGGTGTGTAAAGGTTGACATCGAACGGCCGCTTGGAAAAGACGTTCATTTCAGTTTAAAGCCTTCCTGCTTTGCTACATGCCTGAAAATATCCCAGCTCCAACGGGTACTGAGTCGTGCCTGTTGCCTTTCGCTTAGCCCAGCTCCAGCACCGCCTGGCGTCATGCGGCCTACAAGAGGATGTGCAGAGAAAGGGAAGATCGTGCGTTCATCAGCGACAAAGTCTGAAGTTGTGAACAGTCCGTATGGATCTGCGCAAATAGATATCTTCTCACACGGCAAAAGACCGTCAGTGCCAGATGGGCCAGAAGGCGCAGGCAGAGGATCAAAGAATGGCTCAAGAGGGACGTCTGCATCCTGAGGAAAGCACAACACGTCATCACACGACAACAAACTTCGCCATGCTCGTGCATTGTATGCTTGGCTGTCCCATGCTTCGCTTTTGGTGCAAAGCGAATGGCCAAAAGGCAGGGTAACATCAGCGAGGCAATGCTACAGCCACGTCCAAAACGTACGTCAGTCCATCTGGGAGGCGAATATAGATCTGGCACGTGTTCAAGAAGCCGCGAACGAAGGCCCTCGATCAAGTCCCTGCTTGACTGCGAAAAATCGCGTCCCGTCATTGTACACCCAACAGAAGCAGGGCAAAAAGAAGTAAACGCTCACGGCTGAACTGCTACGGCGAGGCAAACGCGGTTTAAGTCATAGTTCTTGTTTCGCTGGGGCACTACTGAGAACGGGACGTACGCAAATAAGGCGAATGGCGACTCGAAACTCGTTTTCGAGCGCTTGCATGAGAAGCCGCTCATCTACAGCTTCAAGAATTTGCTTCATGCTGTCATCTTGCACGTTGCTGGAGAGCACTGCATCCATGGATTTAATGCTGAAAAACGACAGTAAAACGATTTCGCAGCGACACATGTGATATCTCACTGAGCTGTATAGGCCCCAACAGTTTACGATCGACACCACGGTGCGCGACGGTCCAGTGGAGCAAATGGACATAATCTTCACCTGCGCCATTCATGAGGCGTTATGTTTGCATCTTCAAGTATCTCCTGTTGAAGCAGTTTCTGTCTCCGCAACAGCTCCAAAGTAAGCTATGCAAATATCGCAGGGCAGCCAGAGCTTCCACAAGAACTTGAATCAGATCGCATGCCGTGTGCACACGCCTGTGCTGCAATTCATGATCCCCGTAGCCGCTCTAGGCAGAAACTTATAAAATCCTGATACAAGCTGTAAAGTCTGGAAACTAACCACAAAATCCTTTTAGTTTAGGAAGTGATATGCATCCTGTTAAGATAGCCACAGCAGCATTCATGCCAGTACTGCTGCATACCTTCTGTGCCAAAGGGGATCGCTGTCGAATACGGGAAGCCACAGCCTTTGCCCAGGTCGCAACACGTTGGGGTGTGAGGGACGATGGCAGATTTTGTCGAGAGCTAATGCCGCTGGCAGTTGAATCGAGGGCATGTAGAACATCTTCAAGCTGCGGGGAAAGCATTGAGTTAAGCAGGCTTCCAACCTCTGTGCGCATTGAAGCCCTACCAGTTTCAACACACAGAAACAACTTCTAATAGGTGATCAAAATGCAATGAGCACGAAATTTACCCCAACTAAAAGGCACGCACCGTCGAATGGTGAAAATGGTCGTCGATTATTTCTTCCCACAGGTCAAGAGAGTAGTCGCCTGCTTGACAGACACAACCACATCATTCATTGTCACAACCCGCTGACCCCGTGTATCCTCCTCTTCTCCAAGCTGCAGCTGCCTTTGCCGAGCATTCAAGTCCGCCACCCCCTACTGGCACTACTGCCCGATAAAGACAACAACTCCGAAGCAGTGATCCAGAGATACACCATAATGCTGGGCCTATTTGTCTCTCAAGTGACAACACGGCACTCTTAGCCTAAATCAATGTGAAAAGCAGATGGAGACGGAGCACCTCAACAGTCCCTTGAGCCTACCAGGTGGATCTAGAAAGTGTTCTTCAAGAAGAGCTTTCCCGTCTTGCTCCGATATTTCTAGCTGCTTCTGCAAATACAACGCAAATGACAAACGTAGGACTCAACGAAGCATGCTCACGCACAATCCGTATATTGGCGAAGGGCGCCCACGGTAAGCCTTCATACGAGCCTGTGAATCATATCAAATACAAAAAAGACGTATGCTCGCGGAAAATTGACGTCGCCGGTATGCATTTTACGTCTGCAACGAAGCAGTCGTCCGTAAATCCACCAATTGCACTCACTTCTGCAGTTACCTCCAAGAAATGCAACGCTTCTGGAGAAACCCAGTATCTGCACAATCCTGACCATCTGCAGAGGCAGGGTAGTCAACATATTAAGGGACAGGGAATGGGTATCGGTCCAGGTACCTGGTGGAATGTTAGGTGCACACAGACAGTTAGCGATTAGACGACTATAAGCAAGCCACTCAGATGAGTAGCCTGCAGGCCAGCAGTAAGTTCAGATGTTTGAAGCAAAATGCAATATTGTTGATACAGATAACCTACACCAGATCTTGTGCTCGGAGCTCATGACCTGTAAGAGCCAAAAATGCCCCCAAGGAGCCGCGAAGGCGGCCGAGAGCAAAGCTCAGGCCCAAGGTGGGAATGAAGCCCATCGCTGTGAAAAAAACAAGGTCTAGAAGCACAAAGTATCTCGAAGAGGAACAGTTTAGCAGCAGTTCGTGTTCAAAAACGCGAAGAAGAGTACTGGCAGCAGCCTAACTGGCGAGACAGTCACCCTGGGAAGAGAACAAAACCCCGTGCGCACTTACACGTTGTGTCGCATACAAAAGATGAGTGCTTGTACGCTGCGCTGCGGTTAGCCAACAAGCAAATTGCCGCTCCATCCCCCTCTGCAGGACACAGATGCATATCCCTAGCGTAAACTGGGGATTAGGAGGGGGCGTAGAGACGCTGACACTAAAAGAGCCGCAGTGCCCGAGCTGTACCTTAATTGCTAACCTCACTTCCAACTGCAGAGAGAGCTAGCTAATTCCAAAGAAGAATCTACTGATCGTCCTTTGACTCACCTGACCGTCCATTCAGAAGACACACAAGAGGCTTGCTGTACGATTGCACTACTGCATGCAACTCGAAGGCGTTCTGGAGGAGCCATAAGGCACAGGCAGGGAGCACGCCTTTGCGGGAAGTCTGCGTGGTCTCGGCAAAGGCCAAAATATCTGCGGGAAAATACCATAAACCAATAAGCTATCGCCCTTCGAAGGCTCAGCGCAAACATGCTCTCCCGCAGTAGACACGACTGACAGAAACATATTGCCGGCTTGCAAGACCCCGTGGCAGATACGTAGTGAGAAAGTTGGCAGTAGACGCACGGGAATGCGAGAGACCAGAAGAGAAAGTGCTTCGCCTTCTACTTGTGAGACAGCAAAATTTTTTCAGAGAATTTACTTCCAAGTCTCGCAAGCGTCTATACAGCCCAAAGACGGTTTCACTATCGAGATGCTCTCTGCAACAAGGACGCAGCATTCTGATGGGAAATAAGGGCCCGCGCACACAGCCCAAGCTGCGGTCACCGTAATCTAAGGGAATTCATTCAACATGTAAAGAAGCGAGGGGCATAGGACCGTAGCAGCAGTACGATACAAGCCCACACTGGGAGTCGCCGCAGCTTGCTGCTGTGGGGAAGACTACGTACCGCTGGGACTATGAGCTGCGTTGTGGTGAGAAAAGGCATTTGTGGTTCTGAAGGTCAAGTCAGTAAATTTAAAGTTCCATTTACGTGATTCGACAACCTTGTGACGGGAGACGGTGAAAATACGTACCTATTAAGAATGCACAGACCCATGCCAACATTACACCTTTCTAGTACGGCTTCAGTGAGAGCCCCCGCCCCATCTGAGTGACGCCACTCGTCCGCCGGTTCCGCAAACTGAAACGGAATTCAAGCAGCAAAAACACAAGGGCTACTCCCTGCCATAAACTTGTCCTCCCATCAAGGTACGTCGGGTCAAAAGAACTATAAATTATTGACGCATGCATTCCCTGCCAGTACTTAGGGATGCGCAGCGGCCGCACAGTGTAGTACCAACAGTGTGTTAGTAGCAGTATTGTCTCACCAAAACCTTATCCGGGTCAGTGAAATCAAAATCGCTGCGGAAGAAACCAGTCCTGACAAAACGCCTTTGAAGGGACATGCTTTTACGGCCCCATGAGTTCCCTAAAAATACTAGGCTCTGCGTTGTGCGTCCAAGATGCGTTAATGTAGGCAAGCGCACAGACAAACAATTATCCAACTCCTGTGGAGCCGAGACATATATAAGTTGTGTGTTTTCCCGAGATGATGGGTAAAATTCAGGGCCGCATATTCTTGAAGCAATGGAACCCAGAGGCCCCCCTGTAGTTGCAATTCCGCGGGAGCTTCTCGCGGCCGTGGCCATTGTTGGATTGGTTCGTTGCACTGCGGCACATATGAGACTGTAGATAATATGGTGTGCATGTGATACACAGAAGGACGCTAGCGTCCCACCGCTGATCATCGCTCTCGAGGTGGTCTACAGTTGAGGGAGACGAGGGGGCGCAAATGCTTCCACAAGGCTTCACTGATTTCTTTCCGTGCGGCGCCGCCTGGAGAGTTTAGTGCAGTGCGAGGCCTTATGAAAATCACATTTAGCGTTTCTGGCGAAGGGAGACGGAATCGCCAGCCAATTAGGCATCGAGGGATCGACGGATCTCGGTTGGGCAAACGCAACAGCGTGGAGGCGACGCGCACATGGGCAGCTCAGAAGTTAGTGTAGGCTGCTATACTATATGCGCCTTTGTTTACAACCAAAATATAGGAAAATAAATACCCAAACACGTCAAGGCTCCTAGCAGGAAAGCCGGGAACAAGACAGAAGGGCCCAACTACTACAAAAACTTGGAAAAAAGCACTCCTCGAAGCTCCCAATTTGCCTTGATAAACTAGGCCAGCAAAACAAATGTAAAAGAATTTCTTCTCCGCGCTCAAACCCTCAAAGTCCCGCTAGTGCATGCATTGCGTCGAGGCTGCCAGAGCCAAGACCATGAACCATAGTATTTACCGTTTGTTTGTGGATACGACTGAGATAGATCTGTTTCTTATTCAAATGTGAAAAGGAGAAAAATCTCAGGCTTACCTGGGAGGAAGCTCGATGATTGGTCGTTCCCGTTCCCGTATCTCTTCTCGTCAATCTTTTGCCAGGCTTCTCCGCACGCTCTTGTTCTAGCGATCAGCGAGTTTATATTCCTCTTTAAAGCACTTGATATCATTAGAGGAGGTGAATAGTGGCCTAAAATGGATGGAACTTCAACGTGAAGGTGCTCTTTGGACTCCATTTATGCGTGTCTGTTTTAAGTCCCCCCTTGGTGGGGACACGGAATAACCAACTTGCGCTACATCTAGTCTAAGTAGGAACAGTGATGTATTACCCATATCCTCTACTCTCCGCTTTCCAAGCACGCAGCAGCCTAGACCGTAAGTGTCTTGTTTTACTGCGCCCGGAGCAACCCAAAAATGGGAACCTCAGATATTCCCGCAAAATCGCTTGAGAACGAGGCCACCTCCATACTTAGCAGAGAAGATGGTGAAGCAGCTGCCGCTGCCATTGCTGCTGCCGCTGCTGCGGCTGCAGCAGATGGCTTGGTCTTAACGGGAAGCACAAGGGGACCTGACCCGGGCTCCGATTCGGACCCATCTGAGGATCACTGCTTGCAGTCGCCGTCGGTGGAAAGCCATACAGTAGAAGATGGACTGCAACAGCGGCGAGAGCTCCGCATCGCGAAACTTGAGCAACAAGGCGCAACTGCATCTTCCGACGCGCAAGGAGAAGCGTCAACAAGCCAGCAAGACCAAGGGTCCGATGGGTTTCCTTTTCGGCGCATCATAAATGCTGCATGTACCTCATCTAGCCTGCAGCGCCTCGCAGAGGTCTTTCGGTTCATCGATGCCTCGCCTTGCATATGTGCAGACCCTCCTAGCTGCAAGTTTGGTGGCGAGGCGGCGCAGCAACAGCAGCAAAAGCAACGGCAGATTCTACAGATGCTTACTCAAGAGGATGCCGCGCCAAATAGTGATCGTGAGCCCTCTGAAGCGGACCCTTTCTCGCTATTTGCGAACACTACTGACGCCGTAGTGTCGTCATGCTGCATTCGACACCCTCTCGGGAAGGACACAATAAACAAGAATAACAAAGCCACTGTGCGGCAAAACTCACCTCTGCAAGTTGAGGGAACCGAGCTTGAATGTGACTGGGAGTCGTTTGCAGTTTCTCTCGATAAGGATCTAGACAATCTGCTCGACTCGGTGAGATTCCTTTTCCGCCTTCTATGCCACTCGCTCAAAATTTCGTGCTGTATGAAAAACTTCTTGCTCCATCGGGTTTTCTTTATATGTGCACCTCCCTGTACCTTCTTAGTGTTTTTGTTTTGTTATTTGGAGTGAATTGCATCAGGTGCGGGCTCAGTCAGCTAAAGGTTTAGTCACGTGTCTTGCATATATTTTTTGTTCAGCTGGAGGATAGCGGCATTTTAGAGAAGATGCAAAACTCCCTCGCAGCATGTCTCACAGCTGCAGTGCACGCTTTCCCTAAGGCGCAGGAGGCACGTGCCATGGAGGCTGCATCACAAGTTGCAACCTGTGAAAATCCCACACCACCTAGTGTACTAAACGCATTGCCCACAGCATCTGAACACGGAATATCCTCAGAGCGTACACAAGCAGAAACAGCGACGCCTTCTCCTGCGTCCAGTACATCGTGTACTGCTAGTACACCTGCTGCTGCTGGTAGGGGAGCAGATGATGCACTCGTGGCCGAGGAGGAGCAGGTTCCTTCCGTCGAATCCGGTGGTGTATTTGCCGCCATTGCAGCTGTGGAGGCTCATTGCAATGAAGTAGCGAAAAAGTTTGCCAGCAAACTGTGCACGATGCGTCGCGTGAATGCTCATCGTGGCCAGACCCAGATTCTACGGCAGCCCATGCAAAGTCAAACGGTGAAGCCTTATCAACCACTTCCGGCTTACGCTCGAGGACAACAAATCCCCTTGTTCCCGTACCGCTACGCGGCACCGTCTCCGCCCTCTTTGTTGCAGCTACGGGACCGCCGCAGTCGTTTGCAAGTGCTGGGGCAAAGGAAGGGGGCATGGTCGGTAAAGGAGTATATACCGCACATCAACGCTTCGTTTCCAGACGCCGCCTGGTTTTCTCTCGGGTGCTGCGCTGGCCGTACCTGGAGGCAGCAGCTTTTAAGTAGTGGCTTGACAGCAAGGCAGCAGCTGGAGATGCTTCGACTCCTACAGGGAGATGACCTGGTGGAGGGATGCTTCGTTATTGACACTGTCCATAGGGACCACTCCGTACGTGCAATGGGGAATAGTGCACGTGGCACATTTAGACGCATTAAGTTTAAAAGAGTAGTTTCGGAGAAAGCTGAACCCCAAAACGTAGATTGCTTGCCTAAGAGGCGACGCTGACACGCTTCAAACAGTCTCTGGAGGCTATAGTTTCGCTCCCTAAACCTCGCAGGCACTCATCAGTAGAGGCATATGTGGGTTTTGCGTCAGCAATAGATGGCATCAGCTGCCAAGACATGAAATTTGGGACTTGCGGATAGGGAGCTGCATTCTGGGCTCCTCTCGGCGGTTTTCATGTGCAACGTTACCGAACGTCGCGGCCCGACTAGTGCTTAAAGTGCTTTAATGCACGTAAAGCTTGCCGAAATGACATTTAGGCATGTCATGTCGATGTGTCTTCAGCTTACGCGACGCATTGTAGCTGGCCGTCGGGGACGCCGTGACTTCATTGAAGCCATTACTACGCCTTGGGCTGTAGCGAGGGGCTGGGTGGTCCGCTGTGATAGAGACAGAGAACTCATGCTGCTGCGCCTTGTCGGCGTCGAGGTGTATTCCGAGGGCATGTCAAACACTGTGGATGGGCCTGGAGAGTTGTCAGCCAACTCTAGCAAGCAAGAAAATCAGGCTTCAGGTGCAACTGCCGCATACAAGCAGCCACAGCCTCTTCATGGCGTAGACTACTTGAAGAGGCGTCTTTTGAGAGCAGAGGTTGACATTGGGAGCAGCGGTATCTACGCTGCTTTGCCTCTCGCTGCCATTCCCCGCTATGAGGTAACATACTGACTGTTGTATGGACAGTCAGTGAGGCTGCGGCCTTCACCCTTTTGTGCTCACGACTTTTCTGTGAGCAGTTTCGCTTGCGTATGTATGCGAGCAGTTCATAGGGGGGCAGTCGAGTGGATGCTGCGGCCGTTTTGTATGCGCGGGAACGGCGCTTCGTTTCTACGTGTCGAGGAAGGCAGCGCTTCCAGGAACCTTGGCGGCTTTCTCAGGTCCTCAGCGGAGCAGTAGCGGAATCAAGGACCGCCTTGCGAAACTTCGGCAGCCTTTGTTGGATGAGGCAATGCTAAACAGCGCCCATGCTCACGTTGAAGCGTCCCTCACACTGCCTGATTACTTTCAGGACAACCCAAAGCTTATGGAGCTCTTGCAAGAGCCTTTGGGTACGCAAACGTGGATGGGGTGAAACTTTGATATTCGGCAAAACAGGCCGTATGCTTGGAGGAAGCACGCGGGTGTTTTTATTGGGGTATTTCGCCTTTTTGTCCGCTTTGTACCGCTCTGTAGATTGTTGACGTGCAGCGTTTATGCCTTCAAAGACGTTAATGGACTGCTTTGAAGAGTGCACTGGGCTATAGAGAGTGTACTGAACTGCAGAATATAGTCTAACTGTGGCTCTTGATCGCAGGATTTGCTGCTGCTCTCCCACATGATGCTGCACATCCGCAGCCCCAGGAAGAAGATTTTGAGGAGATTTGTTCTCTGCAGTTGCCACCCAATGGAGAGTCCAGGGAACAACTACGTTGGTGGGATGGTGGCTCGGGATTGCTGCTCAGCCGCTTACCATTCATGTTGCGCTCAAGTGGGGCTTTTATGAATCCGATTGCGACGCACCGCAGGCTGCATGCATTTTCCGCTCTTCAGATGTTAGGAATGGCACCGCCGCCGGAGACACTGGAATTGGTGGCAACCATCGGCGGCCCTACAGGCAGCGGTGCCAGGAAAAAAGGTCCATCGAACAATAACAACAGAGTGCTGGCCTTTACAGAGGCAAAAGCGTGGGAGGAGGTGATAAGACGGCTTAGTGATGGATGCTTCATGTCATTTCTTAGCACCGCCTCCCCATGCGGAGCGATCCGAATCGCTCTTGCAAGGCTCGAGAAAGATCCTGCAGTGCGTGGAGGAGGGTGAGTGCTGTAGTTTGGTTGGATGCTACGGCTTCATTTCACAAATTACAGTTCTACAACGCCTAACGGCGTTTTAAATGGCCACGTGAGCGTTGTTCCTTCAGGGTGGGAAGACTGCTGGCTCAGCAGCAAGGAGCTGATTGGGCTAAACGGAGGCTGAAGGCTGGTGTTGCCTACGCGAGGCGCCGGCAGCTGGACCAAGCCATACAGCTATACGATTCTGCATTGCAGCTTCGTCCTGACTACGCGGACGCTCTCATAGCTAGAGGAGCTGCTTACGCGAATAAAGTGAGCTGGTGCAGTGTACAGTGGAGGGTCGTTACCTTGAAAACAGAAGAAGCCCTGTCATGGAAACTACTCATTGGAATGAAATGTACAGTTACGTTGCCCAACAGTTGAATAGACGTGGCGATGTCAACCAAGTAGACAGTTTTTTTATTCAGGCCAGTATACATGAATGCATTTCCACTAACCAGAAACTCATGCCTGTTTCAGTAGTATTTTGGTGGCCCTCATGGCTGTGCATGCATTGACGATCACCAAATTTACATTCCCTCCTCTGAGCTGGCTCGTTTTCCTTCAGCTCGATTATGAAAAGGCAGCAGCAGATTTAGACGCAGCACTTACCTTGGAGCCCACCAACAAGAATGCTGCTAAATACCGAGCGATCGTAGCTGAGAGGATGGAAGGTAAAGAGGTGCGTCGCCACTTTGAAGCGATTGCAACTGATGCAACAATTGCAAATGACGCAGGGAAATCAGCGTCCTACATTATTTTGCCCCCTGATGGACGCACGGACACTTACGTACAAATGCCCACGGCATCGCACGCATTTGAATGAAAGCCACATCTTTGCTTATGCAGCGGAAGGTATTGATTAGCCCTGGCCTTCATTCTCATTGCTTTGATTTCAGTACTTGGCTCCTGTGGGGCCTCCCCAATGAAGCCAACAAATTTCGAGCAACATTTGGTACTGGTTTCCGAATAATTTGTGCGGTGAAGCAGTAGCATAGCGCTGCGCTGATTATGTGTTTTACAGCCACAATCAGGAAAGCCTGGCGTGTCGGGTGACCGGGACAGGACACCCTCCCCAGACAGGAAATGCAAGTCTCCCGAACATGGACGTTTGCGGGAGATTAGCGCAACGAGGGCAACAACGATCATTCGCAAGGGTGGACCAGGATCCGTCCCACTCCATGTGTCGAGAAATGCACTCACAAGCGCAGCAGCTGCAGCAAATGCTGTGCTGGAACAAGCGGCGGCATCGGTGGTGGGAAGGAAAGGCGTTGGTATTCTTGGAGCGAATAGCACGGTTGACAGGTTCCGCAGCTCTCACGAGCAGCCGAGGCAGAGCCTGCTCCTACTTGAGCAGCAGAAACGCCGTGCCGCACTGATGCAGCAGCAATTGCAACACAGCCAGGAGATGGAGCGACAAATAGAGAAAAGGCGCCGGGAGCACCTGCGACAGCAGGAGGCTCAGCTGAAGCCAGCAATACATTCTAGTAGTAGGAGCACAAACAGAGTGAAGTCGGAAAATAGCGAGAAGAAAAGCTCGAAAGGTGAGTTGCCAGCGCGCTACATTTCACCGCTGGGGAAGCGCCGTACTTTGTCCACGGCGTAATGTACTGTTGGTTATTGTCCTAGATAGCTTTCTCCAGATCCTGCGGTTTTCCTCCGCAGGCAAGAAGAGGAAACATGGCAATTCTTCTCCAGAAAGCACTCGCGCGTGAAGAGCCGATGCGATTGATTGAGTGAATGTGTCATTTGTTCTAGTAGGGGAGCCAGCCAGAAGTGAGCCCGAAGCTTTTTGGAGGCTCCTCACGTCCAGTTTGCTCTTGGTTTCATTTCACGTCAGGAGCGTGAATTTGTCACGTGGTATACAGGGTTGTTGCATACATAATAAACGGGACTGGCGGTCCCCCCAAGTTTACCCAACATAGCAATTGACCTTCGTCCGCTATAGCGAAAGAACAAGATAGCGCTGGAGGCTGGATGGCTCAGCACTAGACGTAGAGGGTAGGAACAGCCTCTTCAATCTTGGGAAAATCTAGGTGCCCTAGCTGGCGCAAATAGCAGCTGCTTGCACCTGAGAAACGTATGACAGTGCGCTGGCATCAGCCGTCTTCACTTCCACTTCCAGTGCCACATACGAGATGCGTGCAGTATACAACACCATCGGAACTTCCAATGCGGAAGACAGCACCTGAGCCGTTTGGGCCATACAAATAGTTCTGCCTGCTCATTTGTTTAAAAAGAGGTCCCGGTTTCTGCTTCTAATGCTCCTTTGGGGCTAGCACAGCAGCGCTTTACCCATGCAAAATAGTACTCAAGAAGCACTGAGGCTAGAAGGGTGGTGGCATCGCTAGATGCGGATGATAGTGTCTTCAGGGCAGCCCCTACACTGTGACTAGACACAGGAAGGTCCATGATGAGCCAACGATGCTCAGCGCATCGTTGGCGCATCATGAGGCACGGGCTCACACTAATAATGTCTCGATTGCCTCAAGGCCGAAAGCCGCCTCTGCCTAAAATTACTCAATGAAAGTCAAGCGTAGGCCAGCCAAGCCGCCCTGTGCCTCGTCTACTGGTGCCTCATCCATGGGCAGCCCTCCCAATGATTCCCGTATCAGTGGCGCTTTTGCCCTTCTAGTTGCAATTTCAAGCCCTTTGGAATCTTCGAACTCCACTTCATCCTCGGCAGAGGGCGATGGCATGCCTTCGTCGGTTGGAGGGGCGAGCGCGGAGCACCGTCCAAGAGGCTGCCCGCAGAAGTCGCCTCTTTGCTCGTTTCTGCCAGTCACTATACCACCACGAGGCGCCACGCAAGTAGGGATCTTTGTAGGTCGGCTGTCCATGCCTTTCCAATCTGATGAAGGCCTCCGTTTTTGACGGGCTGCGCCAGTTGATCCTTCCTGGCAGTTGCCACTGTCATCACTAGGAGCAAATGTAGCATTTTTGGAACCCCTTAAGCAACTTGGTGGATCCAAGGGAACGCCGTTTGGTTGAACGACTTGAATGCCTGCCCGTGAAGAGCCGTTACTCAAGCGCTCGTTTGCTTGACCTGCGCTTGCCCCAAGGTCGACCAAATGGCGCATTGTGGGTCTACCGTGTGGGCAGTTGAACGGTAACTGCAGGTCAGCCATTCGCCTTAGGATTGCCAATTGCCTATGAGGCGGGAGGGGATCGCCGATCATCACAGCGCTGCGACAGGCCTTACTAGCAAGGATATCCCATACCCGAGACGGTCTATATTGTAAGACGCGGTGATGAGGACAGTTCGACTGAGGTGGTTCACCCTTGTGTGCACCGAGTGGAGCACTAGGTTGAGGCATTGTGCCTTTCCATATAGCCTTACCTTGGTCTTCGCTGGCAAGAGCCGAAAGAAATTCTATGAAATCTGAGGCGCCTAGCTGCTTGCCCTCGATAACAGGAACGCACGTTAAAAAGCAATAACGCTCTTCTTGATCGGCATCATGTCCTCCCGAAACCAACCCTCCCGAAGTCTGTCGTTCTGTGACGCGGGCTCCTGCAGGGATCAGCTGGCTCGGTTCCTGTTTTTGTTGCTGCGGTTGTTGAGAACAGGAAAGAGATTGTGATGCCGATTTCAATGAGGCGCTTGAAGTGCTTGCTATGGAGGACGACTGAGACGAGGTTACGCCAACAAAAGATTGCGTAAAGGGCTGGTGGGTGCAAATGGGTCCGGAGATAACACACGCAAACCCGTTACTGCTGAGATGGGGGGTATACGCATCTACGGCTGCTAACAGATCAGCTGGTAAAGACAGCTTTAGCGGTGCAATAAGGGGTTGCATGCGCGGATGAAAATCCGCGTTTAACGCCTCGAAAATTCTTTTCTCGTCGCTTGCGTGCTGATCGACAATGAAAAGGCTCGTCACCACTTCTTCAATCTCCTCACAACTTTTTCTGATTACTTCTCTGCTGCTGCTGCTGCTTCCATAGTTCTCGGCGTACTTGCCGTTGCAGGTGCTGTTGCTGTATTCCCTAGCCTGAGTGATTTGTGGAACTAAGCAGCGACGCCTATTCCTGCGAAGAGCAGCAATGATGAACCCCTCATTGAACTGCCCGACCAGCATCAAGTCACTGAAGAAATCCTTTTCAAATAAAAAGAAATCAGAATCCGTCCTTTTGTCCGCAGCCCTCAAGCCAAGGTTATCGAGGGAGAAATTCGCCGGGGCGTCGAGCCACAGTTGTGACCCAACAGTGGAGGCAGTCTCTTTGTCTCGATATGATATACTATGGTCTATACAAGTGCGATATGGAGCTGGGAATCCATGTATTCGTACGCTACACGTTTCCTCCAGGTCTAAATGGCACTCCCCCACAGCAGCTTCGAGTATTTCCTCTACGAGCATATCGGTCTCTTCCTCCGTGTCCGGAGGCGGTGTCCTGCTCAGATCAGCAGACACTTCAGTGTACAAAGAAACCGAGAGGGAATCTGCTGAATTTGTCCTAGATTTGGGGACATCCTCATTGCAGTGCTGTGGTGAAAAAATTTGTCCACTATTAGGCGTTAGATGGGCCTCAGGAAGCTCACGCTGGTCAGACTTATGCTGCTCGGGCTTCTCCGGAAAACCAGGAGGTGCGCGTAAGTCTCCAGCGGCCGAAGTCGCTCTATGTTGACGGCGGGAGAGAAGCGGCCTCTGGTGCTGCAAAGCATCACCAAGCGGGAGATCGCCACAAGTTACTGATCCTACGTTGCCCGCAAAATCGCCTTTAGGCACAGTCCCCCTGGGCCTGGTGACAATCTCCTCATTTTCCCCCGTGTCGGTCGGCGATGTAAATAATTCCATGCCTCGCAGGGTTGGCGTAGGCTCCAAGGGCAGATTGCTTGTAACTTTACTGGCCTCCATATCAGTGCCTGCATGTGGAACCCGACAATCTGCGCCTGCAAGTACCAGCTGAGCACGCTTGTCCCTCAGCTGAATTCCACAGTCGTAGGCGTTGAAGGCCTCGTTTGTAGCACCAACCATTGGTAACCGCTCGTGTCTACTGGGCTCATACGCTGCTGCTTGATGACTTTGTTGATGACTTTGCTGTTCCTGACCTTCAGGGTGCTGCAGAACCTGCTGGGTTTCGAAGCCCGCCGGTGGGGAAGAGAGCGTGCTGTGCTCAATGCTCAGCTGACGTTGCTTCTTAAATGCATCATGTTCAAGGGATCCCACTGAGGGCGCGAGGATCTTGCTAATGGCTTCCTGCAGAGACCAACTGACGCAAAAAACAAAACAATCGCTGCCGGCGTCTCAGTTGCACGAAGCGGTACCGTCTCGCGCTCACCAGTAGGGCCTGAGCAATCTCTTTCTCAACCGCGATGAGCACTTGTTGCTTGTCCTTCCTAAATTCAAGGACATCAAGCTAACAACCCCTAAGCTGACTTCACGCTACTCAATCTAACACAACAGCACACGTATCGCTAAAAAACGTATTGAATGCTAGGCTATCACGAACCCTTTATACAGAGAACAAAGCAGTAAATGCAGCGTGAGGGCTTGCCTCATGTTAATATCGAGGAGCGATGCATCAAGCTCAAGGAACCCTAGGCAAACGGGAAAGAGGCCGCGACTGCTGACTTCTTTCCATTTTCTACAAGCAATTACAGTGGATAAACAATCGAATTCCAAAATCAAGCTTAGAACGCTTAACTCAAAGTCGTGGCTGTTTCCCAGGAACGTAATGTCTGAGAATTAACCCATAAGTCTTCTACACTACTCCCACAGAGTATTTGGCCAAAGCACCGTGGGTCACGATATCTGGGCACTAAAATGGCCCAGGAATCGTTTTCAGATGCGCATCTGCTTTGCATGCACTACTCAGGAAGATTGGGATTTCAAGTTCGGTTAACCCACTTGTTGAGGAGTTTTTGGAGTAACGGGGGAAACTCCACTGCTCTCCTTTTCACGAAGAAGTGCTGGAGGGCAGCCGAGCGGATGCCATGCGGAGGCCGAGAGATGACTGCTTCCAACCTGCCAGGTGATGCCCGCACCATTGACTTCCTCTAAGCTTCACTGCCACTAGCGAGAAATGAAACAGCTCAAACCTTGGTTACGCCTAGCATATTCCTGTTTTTGCTTCCTGGTAGATTCAGACAAGGATAAGTGCATACGGAACAAAAGCTAAATTTTAGCTCACCTCCATTCTCGTCCTGGGTCATTCCCTGAAAGCGTCAGCTCGGTGCAGGCGGCCAACTGCTTCGGTCCATAAACGCTCAAAGCCGCCTCTAATAAGCTGGAGCTAGTGCCCTTTGTAGCTAGAAAGGTAGTGCGCCCGCCCCTGGAGTCGCAGTGCGTGAGCAGGCAGTTGCACACCCATAAGCATGGATGAGCACACAATCACAGCGGCAAAAGCGAGAACATTTTCCTCCCAAGCATGCACACAAAGTTTCTCCATCACCGAAGGAAACACCTATTCGCGCAGCCAATATCGGAGGATGCCGCACAGAAACAAGACCCACGTCTTGGGGTCGAAGTTCGAGAGGACAATCCTGCAGACGGTCGCGTGCAAAAGAGCAATCCTCTGCATCAACGCCAGAGCATCCTGGAGCTGGCGCTGCTTTGTTTGCTCCATAGTCCTCCGCCTCAGTGGCATACGTCCGAAAATGTCCTCCACAACAACTGTGGTGCCTACCTGAACTCAGCTCACAAAGAAAACTTCCATTGCAGGGGAACACGGAAAGGTTTTAGGTCTTGAAATGCACGGTTTCTCATATGTTCAACAGCACAGATCCACATTATTCAATAGATCTAACTCCATACGTAAAACACCTGACTAATCTCTCAGTGCTTCGCTGGTTCGAGATGCCAGAAGTCTGCTAAGCGCGAGAGGAACTTTCCGGCATTCAGCAGTAACACATGCACAACTGCCCTTGCTTGTTGCTACCCCCCTGCATGGCAGCAAATACGCTCGGCTTCTGTACCTCTCGCGCCGTGGCGTCGCGAGCCAGTTGCTTTCCCTTGTTGTCAAAAATGAGTCGGGTCCCAAAATCAGCTGTGCGGCAACGCGTGACAAGGGACACTCGGGCGACGTAACAGAGAGAAGAAAGTGCCTCTCCCTGCACAAAGAACACTCCACAGAAAGGCAAAATCTACCGGAGAATGTGATAATCAGACGCATGTAGCTCTGCTGAGCTTCTGAAGCCAACATCTAAAAAATCTAGATGATTCTCCCGATCTATATTTTTGCACAGTTGCATATGGCTTAAAAACCTTGCTTAGCTACTGTGACGAGAATACATGGGAACAAAAATCAGCTAATTCGCTGTTGTATTGATGCAGGCGAAAAGCTGGGATTCTGTTCCTACTCTGAATCCCAGGGAATCCAGCTTGCCGTAGACATCATCAAATGTCGTTATCTTTGAAGTCGCGTGGCGGCAGCCTAAGAAAAAAGGAGCTTAACTGCTCAGTGTTTCAGGCTGCCTCATTGGCGCCCAGAGAAAAGCAGCTTGACAGTATCACACGGGCAACAGTGCCACTGGAAAAGCGAACAACAGCAATGCAGTCGGCTTATACAACTCAGTGCGACCCGCGCGTGTCTTCGTAATGTGTTACTACCTAGCAAGTCAAGGTCTTCCGGGGAAATGCCACACCCATTGTCACGAACCTCCACACCCCCAAGGCCACAGTCCATCAGTCGAACCTCTATGGGACAGGCGCAGACAACAGGTAAAACAAAGCAGGAGCAGGTTCCGAATTGCGCACCTGGTACACGACGAAAGGTCAAGGAGAATGCTAACGCGCCTCAACAGTCGTTTCGTGTCCGCCTGTCACCGGGAGGTGAAAAGTCATCCGTGTTTCCCCAGTTCGTTCATTCCCTAGCCACAAACCCCCAGTGGATGACCGATGTACCTACCTATTGCGGTTGCGCCTGCATCTAAGGAATTCTCGACGAGCTCCTTGCAAATACTCCTGAGGTCAATGACAACTTGTTGGCTACTTAGTGCTGCTGCTGTGTCTGCAGAGATGCGTGTGATGCGCCTTCCACGAAAAGTGTTTGCTGTCGCCTGGGAGGGGAGCGGTGGAGCCAATACAGGAGCAGAAAACCCAGACAGATCCGTCAAGCTGTCGGAGTTACTGCTTGAATCCATCCTAGCAGGCATGCTGTAGGGGGGCCTACCAATGCAGCCAGCTTCAGCCGCTCCATTTGCGTTGTGCACGGCGGTAGTACCTGAATGAAAAGCCTCAGCTAGGCATCCACTACGGCGGCTGGAAATTGGATGTTCCTCCTGCTGGGGAGCTAGGCATGGGTAGCATTCGCGATACGGGTCGCTTATGGCTTGCAAAGTGGGCGTTGAACAAAAAGAGAAATCTTCGTCATCCTCTTCCTGCTGAGGCGGTGTTGCGGCCATTTCTGATTTTCCCAGTCAACTCGCGAATGGCTCAATGCTGGTGAGCTTCATAGATTAGGCGAACTGCTGGCGGGCTTTAAACCGGGGAACACGCGGGAAAGGCCACCGACGAGTTCGTAAGGGAACGTTACCTGGCCTTCTGTGTGATTTGGTCAGCCTTTATGCATTGCCACCCCCTGTTTTGATGCAAATGATGTACTCGTGCGGGGATCTACACAGACATAGCTCCCAGGCAAGGATGAAGCATAGGCAACTGGGCAATGGTGCTTCCAGAGTTGTCGGCTGCTGCAGTCCAGAGGAATAATGTATGATGCTATATTGCCGCGTTCCCAACTACCCCGAATAAGCGGGTACGGAAGCCAAAACGGAGAAGCGGCATCATTAAGTTCGCAACAAGCACCTGGCTTCGCGTGAGTTCATTGGGGCCCACACAGTGCCCTTTTCTGCTCATCGTTCAGTGGTCTGCAGAGACAAGCGCTCCCAGAAGACAGCCGACAAAGCACAAATATTGGTCATCACAAAAAAGATCTTACTTTGCAAATCTGCGGCTAGAGGCTGCGGATGCGTGCTTGACCTCCCTGACGCAGCCCTGCAGATCCTATTCAGATTTCGCTTGCCCAACGGCCAGTGGTGGACTTATTCCCAGAATATTCTATGTAAATCGTTTTGTTGGATCGCTTGGGTACGTAGTTTCATCGTTGGTTCATCACACTGGACCGCGGTCAGGTAAAACGTGTAGGCACGGTGCGCCATTTTCGAGCGACTACGCACTCCACGCATGTTGTGGTATACGGCGTGGTATGTTACAGATACACCAGTCGAGAGACAACAATTACGCGGCAGCAACGGCAAACCATTGCTAGCCCGGTGCAGCCGCCTCTGCATTCTACGCCACAGGCAATACTTCCTCCCGAACTCCCAAATGGCTGCTTCCTAGCTACAAATGGCTCACGCGCTGTTCTGTTGCTGAAATTGGCTAGCAACGGCAGCTAAATCACGCTCAATCAGTTCGACGATTCGTTACGCCGCACTACTCTAGCGCCATGCTCCACGCGAAGTGCCTGCCTCCGCAGATTGGGGATTCCGCTGGTGCCTCAAGGTGCCAGTAAAACTTATTCGAACTAATGCATGCTCGCCGCCAATAGGCACGGCATCCGTGCGCTCAGTATGGCTGTCTGGCAAGATCACTGATCCGCCATGAGTGTTTTGATGCCAACCATAAGCGGGAGTACGAGTATACAAATATAGATGTGTACAGGAGGCAGGTATCTAAGGCCTGGATAATTGTAATACAGACTTCCCAGCAAGTACTCCCTTGATATGCACGGCAGGCTTCGGCATTTGACCGTCGTCCCATACTCTGCGCAAATGCTACCGTGGGGCGCTCCTACATCAAGAAGCGCCAGAGAGGCTGATATTTTACAATCGGTGTTATAGCCCTCAGATGACAACCTAGGCTCTCCGGGCTCAACAATTTGCGCAGTCGAAGCACCAGCAGCACAGCGTCACAATGGAATTGGCTCCGCATCCATCATTGCCGCCAAGTAGTTCTACAGTCCTAAAAGGCTTCAGAACAGTGCTCCACACCTCGCTGAGCACAGAAGGCTTGTTCTCAGCATGCTTACCAATCCCTAGCCCTGATTGCCGAGAGACCACGATTGCCGCACCGACAACTCTCTGGCTGAGGCTATACGGTTTGAGAACCAGCGAGCCAGTGAGCCTCAGATGACCCTCACAAGACTTGGTCTTTATGAACACTCTGACAAAGACGCCTTTATTTCCTTGGATCGCTCGCATGTTGCCTCCACTGCATCAGCCACTGCACACACAGCAGCCAACAGCAAAGGCAGAAAACACAGAACTGCAATTCAGTTGCCCAGCGGTGCGTCGAAACCAGAAGGCAAGCCTTTGAGTCTGGCAAGCAGCCCCTGAATCCCCCAATCTCATGGAATGCACTGCTGCAACGAATACTGAAATCATCATAAGAAAGCATCGTAGGCAACCTACCCGCCGCTCTGAAGGCTCTACGTTCCATTGCTAAAACTCCCGCAATTGTTGTACCCCCAGGGGACGTAATATCATCACGAAGCAGTGCTGGATGAATCTCCTTCATCTGTACAAGTGTTGCCGTGCCGCGTACAGACTGCAGGGCAGCTTCTGTCGCCAACTGGCGGGGCAAACCGCTGTCGAGTTTTCAAAGCACACGACAAAGCTACATGCTAAACTTGTCACTTGTAAACTCTGGCCCTGCCACTTATGCAGCAACGAGTTACTCATGTTGAGTAAATTCACAGTAGCTCGGCGTTTGGGAATTTCGCAGCATCGGCCACTCACCATTTTACACCGCCGTCAATGAGAGCTTCAACAAATGAGCATACGAATGCCGGGCCTGCAGCGCCCAAAGATCACTTACCGCAGCCAAATTCCTGCACAGAAATCCAACAACCAGCTGGGCTGAGGATGGATAATTGCCGCTGACGGTGGCTCCATCTTTGCTGGGATGGGCGTTAAGTGTCGATTACTTGATCCGCTAATTGCACAGTAGGCGTCGAAGAGATCTTCTGTAATCGCGTGGACAAGCCCAAATGCTCGCAGCGCCTGCAGAAGCAGCGCGTGTGCTGACTCTGCACAAGGGCTTAAACAATAGCATGTCGCTCCTTCTCCAACAGAGCAGAGAACATTTGGCATTATTCGCGCGACAGGTACATTGTCACACGCCTTGAGCAACCTCGCGAGTGGCACCCCTACGCAAGCAGAAACAACCAACGCGACGCGATCAACGGCGTGCCGGACCTCCTGGAGGACCTCAAGAGCGACGGCCGGCTTCACAGTAAGAAACAGCAAACCGCCTTGAGTGCGCTCCACAACCTAACGGGATCAATGGAACAAGCAGCCTAAGACAGCTTGCTGACCCACTGACACGCGACGAGATCGAACCGCTGAAAGTCCCGTATACACTCAATGATGAATGTAGATACGTGAAAATGGATGGGGAACTCAGTTCTAAACGGAAGGGCGGGGAATCTTGTGAGCTGCATTGCTAACACATCTATCTTCAGGAGAGCAATCTTGAAGTGAGGGGCAAAAAGCCATGCCGCTCTCCTGATCAAGGCACACTAAAAGATACTTTTCTTGCCTCAGTGTTTGTGCCAGTCCCATATCCCAGATCCCGTATATATTCGTAGGTTGTGGTGGTACGAGCACTCATCCAAATGTCGGCGGGCAAGCACAAACCTGCCCGTACCAAAGACGCTGCCATTGCCCTTGCCATCTTCCCTCCACCAAGAAATCCAGCTCTCAGCGCTGAAAAGAAGTGAAATGCATAGCTTTTCCGTATGCGTTTTGCCAAATTGGCGGAAGGGAGCTGCTCATTGCTTCACTGGTAACCGCGACATTAGTGAGTAGTCAACGCGAAGTCAACGCGAAGTTAGTAGCCACAGCCGATATGCCACCAAGTACAATCTTCGAGCTTCGAGATTTATAACGAGAACAAAACCGTAAAGTACTCACTGGACGATCTCTCGGACATTCTGGAGAAAATCAAAATGGCGCGCAGGGACAACTTCTGTGTCCGAAAGGAATAAGTTGTCCGTGCTCGGGCAGAAAGAAGAGAATCTCTTGAGCATGCAATCTTAACAATGACAAACAAGCTTCAAGTCAGTAGGGTGGCAGAAGAACGGAGAGGCTGACGACTATCGTCCGCAGCCCCCAGCCCCCAAAGGGACCAACGCTCGTGCTGGACTGCAGCTTGCCTCGCTGCTGCCTTCAAGATATGGAGGGCAACCCTCCTTAAATAATGAAATGTAACAGCATCTATGCACTTCTGTCGAAATAGAAAGAATGTTTATGGATGGGAAGACAAGCCTCGCTTCGCCGTCAACAGAGGACAAGACTAGTAGAGCAGTTCCTAGTAGATGCCTTCCATCAAAAGAACGCTGAGATACATTACGTGTCTCTTAGCTTGTCGTATTGCTAGAAGGAAGAATGTGCAATGAGCCCTTGTAAATGGGAATAGCAGACAAGGAAAGGCCTCCCAGATTTGTGCTGAGCAGTGGAAGTAATACGCTGTATTGGTGTGCGTTGCGGCTCCGAAAATGCGTCTAGCTAGAAACTATCAGCGTTGTGTTTTCGGAACGGATAGCTTATTGATATTTCTGCCTCAAGTAATGAGAAATACTCTGCAAAAATTCGCTACAGTAACTGCTCTGCGGCGCACTGCGTTTGGTCTGCAGGCGAATGATAATGGCACTTCCACAGTGTCAGAACAAAACATGGCATACAAACAGTAGAGTAATGCAGCAGGGCAGAACAAGGGAAGCTGCGGGGAGGTACTTTTGCTCTCCCTGTCTCCACCATTCCTTCTGTGCAAGAGCTGCAACGGGCAGACCCTGCTTAGTCTCAGCCAGCATTTTGGGCCCCTTAGGTTCTACAGTGAGTTCTGGAGACCATGCAGTACTGCGTTAGTTCAGTGGTCAGAACTGCACGCTAGCCCGCGAATGCAACAGGTCTGTATAGGGCCTTCGGCATTGTGTGCAATAGAAAGTCTTCTTTTACGGACTTTCCTTAGAAAGCTTTGGAATCTTTAACTATCAATTACATACTTTGGCGTAGCACATACATCTTGGACAATTTAGTCTGTGTGGACTGGAACTCTGTTAAACGGACGGAAGGCTGCCTGTTAAGGAGGATGCAGTTCCTGTATCAGTCCCTGTATGCAAGCAACTGACAACGGCACCGATAACTGAAAGCGGAATGACCTTGAACATAATGACAGCACGTATGTATTGCCTTTACAAAACAAAGCAATGATGTATAAGGCCAGTGAAAGTCGCTGAGCAGTGGACGTGGATGTTAGTCTCTGACCCTACGCTTCGTGCAGCTCTATTGATACCGCTGTTGGGCACCATTACGACCCTCTGAGCCCTGTTAATACTTGTCCAGGAATAGTTTTCTTCAAGGTGCGGGCTTCCGCCATTGTGGGCACTCCATACTGGTAGGCACCTGCCAACTACTCGAAAGGTTACAGGAGTGTAAAGGGAAAAGTTATCTTTTGTTTTTTCCTTGTAAGGGGCGGCAGCACCGTTTCGTCCGTTAAGAGAATCCCCACTGATTTCCGTATAATTCTCTGTGTGAGGAGCAGAGGTTTGAGAGCGCTAAATATCTAGAGCAGCTTGCACAGCAATGCCTGTGTTGCTCCCTTAGCTTTGTGTGACTACACTGAAGCCAGTTGTCAGAATAAACGATTTGCGGAATTACTCCGACAGCTGCAGTTATCTCCTTAGAGCGATTATTCCGACACCTCCAGTCAATGTAGTCACAGTAAGCTAGAATCGAATGACGTCCGAAGATACAACCTAATGCTCTTCGCCATTCACAGGCCCTTCTACATCTCAACTGGAGAAAGAGCGACTTGCTCTTGAATGCTTGCATCCGATTGAGGGTAACTGTGACTCTGTATGTGTTGACGGCACTGCTGTATGTGTGCAGACAGGAGCTGCGTCACTGTAGTGCACAGGCACTACAATAGGGCTTGCTGGTGACCTATAGAAGATAGCTAGCTAGCGACCTACAAGGGGTCGCAACACTGGAGGAGAACAGGACCCTCTTACTAGGATCAAAGTAAGGCAACTTGTCTGCGAATTAACACGCATACACTAGAGGTGCCTGTAAATGCTTGGAGACTGGGGCTGGCGATAGCGCCGGCACCAGTGCAGGCCTCCTCCCCAGAGGGCCTAGGAGGCGAGCACCCCGAGTGGGGTGGATTGGACGATAACAGATTTTGGAAAACTAAGAATAACTGTATTTCGTTATATATGGGCTACTGTTTCAAGGAAATGGGCCAACGTTAGTTGCCGATCATAGGCCCTGCTCAAGGGGGCAGGTAGCAGCGTAGTCGCAGCAGTAGGCGCTGTGCACTACATTTGGGGGCTATTCCGGGATTGAAATATTTCTTCTTTCCGGACTTGGGAGTAGAAATACTATGTTTTAATAACTCACGCCTAGATATCTTCGCTCGGTAAGGGATGCATCTCCGCAACGGACGCGTTATCGGCCTCACACCGCAGGAGACTTCTACAATGTCAGTCAACAAAATGCCCAGCGGGACGCCAGCCCATCATCGCCATGCGACTCCGAAGACCACCGTGGCAGAGCGGCCGCATGGGCATAAGGAGGCGCCCCCGCAGGTGATACCTATGACCAATGATGTGCCAGGGGACAGTCCCTTCTTCACGTGGGACCAATTCCAGTCCGCTATGAGTGTGATAAGAACTGTTATAGGGGGGACCGTGGAATCCGGCGCAGCAATTTCCATACTACCAAAAGACGGCAGCACTATGCAGGCCTTTCTGCTGCGCATCGAGCGCCGGTACACCCAGATGGGATTGGAACCGCGCGAGTGAGGAAATGCACTTATTGACCACCTTGTGGGCCCGGCCCTAACGTATTGGATGTATCTACGGAGAACTATCGACCTAAGCGACTGGGCGACAGTACAGCGCAGGCTTTTGGAGCGGTTTGACAAAACAATGTCGCAGAGTCAATTGCTAAAGGAGTTGGCTAAAGTACGGTGGAATGGTAACCCGAGGGAATACACGGACCGGTTTGCGGCTGTAGCGGAGCGTGGTTTGGGTGTTGCCCCCGACGAACTCTCTGACTATTACTGCACCGGGCTACCGACAGACCTCAATCTTCAAATAGCCAATAACGGGCAGGTGAAATATCAGTCGTGGGAACAAGCGGCGACAGCCGCAGCACGGCTCTACGAGCCCAAGCAGAGTGTGCTGGAACTCCGAGAAAGGACCACTCGAGCTCGAGCCATTAGGGCTGCTATCCAAGCTAATGGAACCCGTGGGCGCCAGGAAATTGAAAATCGACCTGGGGGAACCCAGACGGACTGCTTTGAGTGTCAGGGTCGTGGACATCCGGCACGTGTCTGCCCCAGCAAAGGGGAACGTACCAAACGTCCGAGAAAATATGCAAGAAGTGTGGCGGTGTGGGACACTATGCTCGGGACTGTCCTACGTATGAACAAGGGCGGCCCAAGCCGGCGGACAAGAGCAGTAGGGAGCCCACCCGTCCTAGCACTGAGAAGACGGAACGAATAAACGTGCGGGCCTAGGCGTGGTTGGAGACGAGCGTTCCAGGCCGCGTAGCCATGGCAAAGGGATGATGTGTGCGGTAGCGACAGGCCCTAATGCCATTCCAGTCTCCCTTGAGTGGGGAAACCAACTCCCCAGCACTGCGGAAAGAACTAATACGAGCGATGGGCACGCGGAAGGGACTCAGCCGCTTTCGGAAACGAGGCGGGAGTCTGGGTCGGCGTCAATCCTGAGTGAAGAGACTCCGGAAGCTACGACGGATAGCAGCAGGAAGTCTGCAGAGGCAACAGAAGACGGCTATAGGTCGGACGCGACAGAGATTGTGCCACACTGGTGGAGGGAGACTTGCACGAAAGAGTCTTACGACCAAGCGGAAGCGTTGTGTTCTGTGGGTGCGACGGCGGTACTTCGCGTTGAGCTCGCAGGGAGTCCTTGTGAGGCCCACTTGGACACTGGGGCTTCGAGATGTTTCACTAGTCCTAAAACAGTCGAACGACTGCGGCTGAAAGTGCGGAGACTTCCAAAAGAGCATAGGTTCACCGTAGCTACAGGTGAACAACTATGCATTGATCGGGTTGTGACGGGATTGTCGATGTGGTGCGGACATGTACATTTTTCCGGGGACGTTTTAGTGGGACCCGTTCCCTATGACTTAGTCTTGGGTTTGGATTAACTGATGGAACACAAGGTGGCCTGGTATTTTCAGTCTGACAAACTCCGAACCTATGTGAATGGCCAGTGGTGCGAGTTACCGGTCGTTCAGACTGGTGAAGCAACGCTGCAAGGTGACAGTCCCAACGTAGTCCACCCAAGGACCCCAGCAAAGCAAGCATATGAGATATTGGCCAAACAAGTGGCGGATATGTCAGCCGAGGAGGCAGCTGTATTCCTACGCCCGCCTCCAAGGAGGTATAAGTCCCACGGGAAGACTAAGGCGAAGGCGCGGATAACGTCGCTCGTTCGTCACGCGGCGGATGACACAAAGAATCTCAGGGCTCCACTGCACGGTTTGCATCTCATACTGGCTTTGCCCGAAGCCGGTTCGGCGGTGCCCCTAAGGCTCTCGGATGAATGGCAGGGCAAGCTTTGTTGCGCGTTGATTAGGAATCAACCCATGTCCTCCGGCTGGCGTAGTCCTTTGGCCTAAACCGCCTCGGTG